TTAATTTTAGTTTTTAACTGACATTCTTGCTCACTGATAGCTGCGATATTTTACATTACCGGGCTTAATTTTGTTGGGCCTTTTGTTAGTTGATTCATTTTTTGACTTAAATTGAAAACAATGGTGTTTATAATGGGCAGAAATGTTTTCGTAATTAGATGTGTAGCTTATATATCACCAGAGATATTTTACTAACTTTCTAGCAGTTTTTAGCACATTCACATCTAAACAGACAATACAGTTCATACTTTCACAACCCAATATTTTACTCAACTGTAAAACATAAACTGAAATAACATTGTATAATTTTTAAATGTTTGTGATATTAACTGCGTCAAGGATTCGCATATTTTCCCTCTCAGTTTCAACGGGCTGGGGACCGTCACATAGTACACAGTACAATGTGGCCTGATTAAAAATATGGAAGACCGCGTTGGTCATTTACAATCTCCCCCACTCATTAAAACCTGCACCACTCAACCGTCTCACAAGTTGAGTCAAGAAAAAGAAAAAAGATAATTAGGTACATGGAAAAGTGTAATAATACAATATAATACAATATTTAAAAGAAAACTTGATAAGGGTTTAAAAGTAATATTGACACTAACTTTTGCCAAAGGAAGTTAAAATTGTAAATATTTCTCCTAAAGTATTTAGAACGCTAGCAAGCGTTTCTAAACTACCTCAACAAGACCGTTACTCTGATCTTTGATATCGTAAAAAAATAGAAGTTTTCAGCTAAAGATGCGAACAACTTTATAATTATCAATATATAAAATCATTATACGAATATTCATATATTGATGTTAAACTTTGCATATTTACATGCGAATCGGTGTTAATTAGTTAAACTATAAACATGCCAAATTGATGCAGTTAACACAGTGAGGTTATAAGATTTATAAGAGAAGTATTAGAAATTCTCTTGATAAAATAATTAAAATCGTGAAAAAAACTACCTGTAAAATTATAATAATTTAGATCTATTGTTAAACTGGTATAAAACGTGAAAAAATTCAAAGGATAACTTACTTACCTCTCCATTTATAGGACAAAACTCCACAATACCTATATCAACATCAGTTGTATAAATCGTGTCAAACAATCAAAGTGCTTCTATCATTTCCACGGCGAAATTCTCTTCTTTTAGTTTCACCAGCAGGGTACAGATATCGATTCTTAGGTCTGGTTCCTGATGTAGCATGGCCGTCAGAACACACCTGGACAAATACAGGTAAAACAACTGTTAATTAATTTAGTAACTAATCAACTGGCCGTCAGAACACACCTGGACAAATACAGGTACAGCAACCGTTAATTAATTTAGTAAATAATCAACTGGCCATCAGAACACACCTGGACAAATACAGGTAAAATAATCGTTAATTAATTTAGTAAATAATCAACTGGCCGTGCGAACACCTTGGAGAAATACAGGTACGGGAACTGCTAATTAATTTAGTAAATAACATTATTTACCACACTACCTGATATTTATTCAACTAATTTAAGCTTATAAAAATGAAAAGCAAATCAACATGTATTTAAGTATAATCACCTGTAAATGTGCGGAACATCCGGGCAGTTATTGAGCTCATCCAGGTAATTGTGCACTGACATGGGGTTCGGTTCCACTCTGAACAGCATGCACCAGACAACAGCACCGAGGGAGTACACGTCCAGTTTGAAGGGGTCAACTCGGCCATTACACAGAAGTTCAGGCGCCATAAACGCTGGGGTCCCGCCGATATTGGCACTGCATTCAGTCGTGTCAGGCACCAAAAAGGAGAGTCCAAAGTCTGCGAGAACAGCGTGTCCGTTGTCGTCTAAAAAGACGTTGGCTGGTTTAATGTCTGCATGGACGATTCTTCTCTTGTTGAGGTAACGCACAGCGCAAGACAACTGTATCAGGTAAAGTTCCAGGTGATGTGGGGTGAGTTCTGAAAGTCTCTGAGACAGGGTCCCGTTTCTACAGTAAGGCGTGGTGATTGACCAGTAGCGTGGACATCGTACGGCCGATATGAGCTTGATGATGTTGGGATGGTCCACCCCCAGCATGGCCTTGACCTCCTGTGTGTACAGCTGCACGTTCATGTCGTCAGCCTGGTGGAGCATGGAGAACATTTTCACCGCCAGTCCGAAGTTGAGATTGTCCGATGTGGCGTGGATAACCTGACCGCTCAAGCCGGCTCCGATGACCGGACCCGGCTTCAGGTGAAACCGGTCGAATAAATCTTCATCTAAGTCCACAACTAGAGGTGTGAATGTTGCCATCACTTTAGTAGGAACAAAACTTTAAAGATTTGTGTGATAACGTTAAAGGAAATTAAGATATGAGATCTGTACTTGACCGTAAATCAAGTCAGAATGACGGAGATTTCTTTAAATTCAAGGGTTTATATACTCTACAGATATTCCCAAGTTAACCTTCCCACCTTCAATATGATAATTAAGGATCTGAAAACGAATGTGTGATGTGCCGACTTACAACACCGACCTCATGGGCATTAATGGCTGCTGATCAAAGCATACAGCAGGTAAAACATATCACCGCAATAGGAGTAGGTAACTCCCACTTCCAACTGACCGCTGGTCACGCTTGTGTGAACTTTGAACTGTTTGATGTTTACACAATGGAGGTAAAGGGCGATCATTCACGCCGACAAACTATGGCCCAGACAACACCGAGCATGGACGACGGTGGCCATGGAAAATATTGACATAAAAACAATTCTTAGTGCGCGCTGAAAGCATGAACGACGCATGAATGAACATTGTATCTAAACTGAAAACAAAACTGTTTTTTTCGCATGTTCAGCTAAGCAAATCTATCGTTTAAAGCAATTAACTGCTGATAGTAGTTAGTCCTCCCTGGTTGGTCGTCATTAAGTATCATCTTGATGCTGTAAGCTTGATTTATTTAGTAGTAGTCATTAAGTATCATCTTGATGCTGTAAGCTTGACTTGTTTAGTAGTAGTCATTAAGTATCATCTTGATGCTGTAAGCTTGACTTGTTTAGTAGTAGTCATTAAGTATCATCTTGATGCTGTAAGCTTGACTTGTTTAGTAGTAGTCATTAAGTATCATTTTTGATGTGTTCTGGTTATTTAGTTGTAGTAATTAAATATCAATCTTGAGGCTGTAAAAATGCCTTGTTTAGGTAGATATAGTTTATACGATATAGTTAATATCAAATTCTATTAAATTATCGCCTTTCAAAAAAATAAAAGTGAAATCTTCTTTTCAATCTAGTCTATTGTCAAATAGACCCTCAAGCTGATGACTCACTACCAAGCTGGACAAACGAGAGAGTAATCTCCCCTTACACCACCGGATTCGACCAGCGGTCAGGCATAACAATGAGATATATACATTCAAAGCGGCTTAATGATTGTTTACCCAATTTCTTTGATCAGCGCTCTTTGTTGTCTGTTATTACTAAGTTGCTTGTACCGCATTTTCACTTCATGTATTGTGGGGGAAGGGGGGGGGGGGTCATTCATGCATGACGTACACGGCGGAGGAGGGTGGTAAAAATTATTGATTTTTTCAGAACGCGTATGAACTGTGGGTCAAGGGTCGGGTCAGTGTGGGCATCCATGTGTTGAAAACGTCAAAGTACTTATAATTAAAACAACATATTACTCGTATCCTGCATGTGAAAAGTAAAACTAAGACAACACGTAAAAATCACAAAAGATTCTTCGTTAATGTGAGTTTATCCATAGAAATTTCTTATTGAATTTCATTCCAACATCTCTGTGTCTCTCCCTTAGCACACGCAGCAAAGCTGTCCAGATCACTGAGAAAAGGACGAGTCACATTTTAATGGTTACTAGCGTACCCTTTCGCGTTGATGTGATCTCAGTAGAATAGAATTTCAAAAACACGCGTTATAATAATATTCAATTGTTACGAAACGTTTATTTTTAGACTCGCGACCTAATTTCACTACCGCTGTTGTAATGACAGATGCAAATTGTATTCAAAAAGCAAAATGTATCTCTAGAGTACGTTAATTAAGCTCAACAATGCTCCTGTAGAACACATGCAATATACAAAGCTTCTACGGTCCTTTTATAAATGTACTTTTTTGTCTGAACCAGCAAAACGGATGCTTGATTCTATAATGACGGATCAGCTTTGAAGTGGATAATATAATACTTAAATGTGGATGTGTTTTGTATAATAATGGATCCGGCATCCCGAAAAACTACCTTTTCCTAACTGCTTATAAGCCATTGCACATAAAAAGATTAATCGTTATCTTCTCTTATTATGTATGTATTAAAGAAAAACATGACACTACGATACTTCTTTGTAAACCTGCTGGCAGAAAGCGTTACAATCAAATACATTAAGAGCTTCCAATATATCTCAGCCCACTACAGCACACCATACAAGCCCCACCCACTTCCAATTGTATTCTGGTTTGACATGGCTAACTTGATTAAGAGCAAATGGAAAAGAAATAACGTCTTATATAGTCTGTATTAGAGAGGGTTTTTTTTTAAATATATCAGCAACTGCTTCTTTCTTTCTTACATCTTTCATTATTTTGTTGAAAAGTATTTTAATGTATATCGATTCTAGTAAAATTCAATTTGTGCTCGTTGAGTTTGCGAAAATTGATTCTACGTACATCGATTTATGTACATCCACAATCACGCTAAAAACCCTAAATATATTGACAGTCAACACCTTATTTCGCATGACATGTTATTGTCCCAATGAAAGACTATCTTTCATTTTACATGTCGTTTGTTTTGTACTAAATAGATCTAAGTTTTAACGTATGCACTTCAACTTTGGATCAGTAATATAAACTTCAGGCTGATCACAATTTTATCATTGTATTCTGGTACCAACACTACTATTCCTGATAATTAATTGATAAGAATAAAACACCACATTTGAAAGCAAAATACATCTACATAGTTTTAAAGATATTAATTTTAATAAAGAATTTTTCACAAATTACATGATAGTTACCCTCAAAAACCGTCAAATAGAAAAAAGCATTTTAAATTAACATAATATGTGTTTGTATAGGTTATGGTTTTGTTGTGTATGGGTGTGTATGTGTAGTGTGTTAGCATTTGTTACTGTAAGCTAACAATTGATTCATTGAATGTGCATAACACAAAAGTGAAAAAAAGTAGACGTTGACATAGAAAAAAGTACATAATGACACACTAGCTTTTAAACCTCAACCAGATAACACACTATCAAATGAATCCGTTCAGTGAGAACTCAATTGTTTAGCTTTCTAAAAATATGACATGTTATAAAAAGGGAAAGAAAATTTGCCTTGGAGGTACAAAAAAAGTACCTATAAAACATATTATCAGTCCCAACATCAAAAGAAGAAGGTTGCAAATCACATTTCCTTAATCACCAACCACATAGACAAGATCCACACGTCGGCCATACCCGCAACTACCATCCTCAACTCGACCAACCACCTCTTTACCATCCACACCTGACCAACCACCTCCTTACCATCCACACCTCGACCAACCATTTACTCACCATACACACCTAGCCAAGAACTTTTCCAACATCCACACCATTTAGTGACCATCAACATGTACCGAACCACTCATTCTTTTATTCATACCTTATCAACAACCTGATCACCATTCAAATATGACCAACCACAATGTCACCTTTTACATATTGTGGTCAACCACCCTCTTGCCATACACTCCCTTTTACTTGACCAACCATCCATATCTTGCCTATCACCCACACATTGAGAAACACCCACGCCTAGCCAACCACTTAATCCCATACAAACTTGGTATTAACGTACATAACATGACTCTGATATCTAAACGTTTCTGCGCTGTCCAGTGATTCTGTCGTCTCAAATAAGTACTCCTTGAAGCCCAGCCTCCTGAGGTGCCTCATCATCTGAAGAGAGATAAACTGAATCTTATGCTTAGGTTAGACCCCCCCCCCTCCCCACACTGAATCCCACTGCCTGTACAGTGAGGGACCTTTTCAAATTATTTCAAAAGTTGAAAATGTATTGGATTTCCATTTTCTGTTTAAAATTATTTTCATAATTATTTCAAAAGTTGAAAATGTATTGGATTTCCATTTTCTGTTTAAAATTATTTTCATAAAACAAATATTAAAATTTTAATGTATAAGTTTATTTTATAAAAAAAAAAAGAAAACGGCTTTTTTTGTGTGCTTTGGGCCCCTATGCCTTGCTACGCCACTGATGCGTGTATAATAGTGTGAAGCATTAGTATTTTACTAATTCTTATGCGTCTTTTGAGAAATAGGAAATGGCGTAAAGTACTACTTTCTGTAACCGAAAACTAAACGAAATTTGAAAAGAAAAAGAAAACAAAAATTTAGATATATTACTTATATGTAAAATTTCGTCTATCAGAAACAGTATTTAAGTTATAAGCTCTTAAAAAAACGGAAAGTAGAATAAGTTCAACTTCCGTTTACCGGAAATCGCTGAAAAGTTTATACAGAGCTACAAATTTGATATAATACTTTTAAATGAAATTTCATCAACTAGCTGTAACGGTACTCAAGTTCTCGTGTTCACACACACTCATAAACACACATACACATAGATATGATATAGAGAGAGATAGAGAGACATACAGACAGAATTCCAAAACCTATATTTTTCGACTCAGGGGGGTATAAAACGTCGAGATTGTAAAAATTTCTTTAAATTTTTTATAGTGGTATGATATATATTTTTAAAAAAAATTATTTTCCTTATTTAGTTCATTACATAAAATGTTATTTGTTATGAAGATTTATGTTTTCTATGAATTTTTTATCTACTTTAAATTATTTTAAATACAATACAGTTACATGACTAAAGACTATTGCGCACCAAATAAACATGATAACGCGAGTATAATGGTGCGGAATAGTAGTATTTAGATTGCATACCGATTTCATAAAATTTTAATAAATTTATTATAAATTAATTAGTCATCTAGCTAAGTCAAAGTGGATGTAAGATTGCATATTCATCGAGTCTTGACCCACGTGCCAAATGCCAGAGAAATTGATTGATTAGAAGGGGCAAAAATTTCGCTCGCCCGTTTAGATCCAGAAAGAGAGACTAGAAGAAGACAGATAAAACGAAGACAGAGGACGCAAGTTAAATTTTAAAAAATTAAAATTCATATGCGTTTTTTTTAAGAAATAAAAAAATAGTGTAAAGTACTATATCCGCTCACTGGAAATTACTCAACATTCGTCCAAAAAAAACCAAAAGATAATAAGATCTACATATACATGAAATTTCTTCTATATATCTGAAACAGTACCAAAACTAGAATAAATTCGACTTTCGGTTACCGGAAATCGCTGAAAAGTTGTTACAAAACTATAAATTTGATATAATTCTTATATTTAAAATATTTCGTCAGAAAGACACACACAATCAATCAGACACAGACTTAAAGACAAACTAGCGAAGTTTAGTTTTTCCGACTCAGGTGGGTGTAAAAAGTAAATTTGTGAAAATATCGATTTCCACTTTTTGCACGACTACAATACTTCTTCTATGCTTAGTATACGAGAAAGTAAAGGTCATAATTAGAAGGCCTTACTTAATTAATGATGTACAAATGTACCTTGTAATACAAGACATAATCCTCCTTAGCAGGTCTAGATGGAAACAAGTGGTACTCGATTAACAAATGACGCACGTACTTTAACATGTCCGTCTCTATGATGTTATCTAAGACTTGCCACTCGTAGGATTCGATGTCAAATTTCAAGACGTCTATCACACGCTGGGGAAATTAACAGACATTTTAACAAACGTTAGAATGTACCTGGCCTAATTAGTTGCTTTTGTTTTTGTGTACCCTTTCGAACCTTACGGTCCACGTAACTTCAGAAGAAGAGTTAAACTCTTTTATTGACCTCCGCAGTTGAATGGATAGTGTGGCAAACGCTATGCCCGGCCGCCATTACTCAGGGATGTCGTCTGGCTCGAGCCAGTATTTGAACTTAAGATTTGCGGGTTCCATATTTGATGGAATGTGTTTGTGTGTGGAACTTAAAATCAGACTTAAGTATTTGCCTTCATCGATTGCATCGTTTAACAATTATCTCTTTAAATCTTCCAAAGAGTTTTGTAAAACTAAAATTGTCTCTTCTTTTCAAAATTGTTTATAAAAATAAAAATTGCGTCGATTGTATAAAGAATGTTATAAAACTGATATTAAATTTTTGTTACCTGTAGAAAATGAAATGTATCTTACGTTCTCTAGCCCCAGGTCTTTTGTAAAACCTTTCAAGGTTCGGATCTGCCAGGTCTGTGGGCTTCTTACATATCTGTCCATGTTGGGGCTGAACCCGTTGGTGTTGACACTGCCTAGTCCCATGTTGTAGAAGGTCACCTGCGGGCTCCGTACGTGGGTCTCGTTTCTCATGCTGGGTTTAAAATATGTAGAGTGTATAAACATTAGTTAACGTAAAAACAATAACTAGACGACCCAGTCTCCCGTTGAAAAACGGTCAATGGACTACACCACGCAAACCAATGTCTCCCTACTTTATCTTCGTTCCTATAAAGCTTATTCACCCCAAATGAATCCATTTTTTATACCGTAAAGGTATTGGGATCATGGGAAAAAAACTAGATTTGTGAAGGTTGGCTTGGTGGTAACTTTCCCTCATCAAATTTAAGATTTTCTTGCTATTACAAAAAACAAAACAAAAACGCCATACTAAATACCCAAAAGTTCTATAGGACAAGTGAAGTTCACTTGTTGCTGTGATCTCGGCATATGAAGAGATAGTGTGGTCAGCACTATGCCCAAGCGCTTTTACTTTCCCTAACGTGAGTTAGGTACCCATCAGAGTTGGGAGGACCAGAGGCGTAGCGACCCCTCCCGGCGCCCGTGGGCAAACTTTCGATTTGCACCCCTCCCCCTCAAATTTTAGATTTGCCCCCATCCCTCAAGCTTTCAATTTATTTTTCCAACCCATATGGGCGCCTTATAAGGTCGGCGCCCGGGGACATATGTCCTCCCCCGCCCCCCCCCCTCTCGCTACGCCTCTGGAGTGGACTCGGTGACGGTCTAATGACTCGAACCCGGATTCGAACTCGAGACCGTCCCCACTAAATACCAAAACTGATTCATAAAAGTGTTCTTACCTGTGATTACCTGTAGGCTTACATACCTGGGGTCAAACGAGCTGACGTTACAACCTAGTGCGCCTATCGCATCATCGAACTTAAAGCCGTAATTAATCCTGCAATTTGCAAAAGTGCGCTGTTACGACACTCAAGTTTATATTGTTAAAGTATAAAAATACAAACACAATCACCAGCAAATATAATAAAAATAAAACAATAACAATGACAGGGTGCAACAAGTCATAAAGAAATCAATTTTTAGGTTTATGAAATTTAATATATAAATATTATATAAAAATCTTAGATCCGTATCAACTTTTGAGCGACTTCCTATAACCGGAAGTGGAAATTTTTCTACTTTCAATTTTTCAAAAACCTATTTCAGATAGGTAAATAAAATTTCACAGGTAAGTAAAAGATCTAATTTTCTGCCTTCTTTTAAATTTTCAGTCATGTCCGTTGACCGGAAGTAGTAATTTACTCTATTTCTGATTTCTCAAAAAAAGCGCATGTGAATTTATAAAGTACTAATACTATTCCGCACTATTATGCACATTTTGTGTGGCGTTCACTTAGAGTGCAATTCTTTTTTTTAAGAGGTTTTATTTTATTTAAAAAATTGCAAATATCTAAAATGGGTTAAAAATCATGTCTATATCAAGAGTAAAGGGGAGATCATTCCCCTTAACTCGTTTATTTAAAAAGTCATTTTAGTATTGATGAACTGCCAATCTATAAAAATAACACTACTGTGGGAGATGACGGTCAGTGTTTCTTTTCTCTCAGGGAGGATGGAAAGTCACTGGCCGATATATATATATATATATATATATATATATATATATATATATATATATATATATATATATATATATATATACATATATATATACACACATATATATATACACACATATATATATATATATATATATATATATATATATATATATATAGATAGATAGATATATATATATATATATATATATATATTTTATATATATATATATATATATATATATATATATATATATATATATATATATATATATATATATATATATATATATATATATATATACTAAATAATTTCTATTTAGTTCGAATAGATGCGTGAAAGAAACTCAAATGACGATTAAATATCAAACTATTTCATCATATTTAAATATCACACATTTTTAATTTAACAATATCAATATCAATGGCCTGTTCAAATAAATGACGTTAAACATATCCGTAAGATACACAAAAACAATTACAAGAATCTAATCCAATATGTAACATCAGCACCTACCCTAAGACTAAATTTTAGCACCTACCCCAACATATAGTGACAGCACCCACCCCAACATTTAATGTTAGCACCTACCCAAAAGAAAACACCAGACAAGGGGCTTTAACCACGTAAGGCTCATCCTGACAAACTGGCCAGTTACCGAACTTAATCAGATTTTTACATTGGTATCTCAGAGGTGGGTTCATGTACCTGAGGCAAAAGTCATAGAACAAAATGTCATAGATTACAGAAAATATTGTCATATATTATAGAACATAATTTTGAAGATTACAGAAGACAATGTCACAACAGGACATAGTCACACAATATAGAACACAATGTCATAGAACATAGAAAATATATTTTATGTAATTGACAACAAAATTAATGTTTCAGCAATTCGTTTCCCTTTTCTTCTAGTTTTGACAAACTGAAGCTTTCCCCTAAAATAATAGACACAGTCAGATCCTACACATTCTTGGAAACAATTACATATGGCGATCATCATTAGAATTATGTTATTTTAATAACAAAGATGCATTTGGCACATACAAAGTCTGGCAGTATCAAAAATGTGATCTCGCTTTGGCGCCTATACATATTTTGTGTAAAATCTGTGAAATAGTGCACCCCTGAAACCATAAGTGAATCCCTGTTAAAATTTTGAGGACGCCTCTACGAAAACCCTAATAGCGCCTCCTAACTTAACAAGAGAACAAAACCACAACTTACGAGGCCATCATGGCCGCCGCCTCCCACCATGTTTTGATTGTTGTGACGTCGGCAGGGTCAGCGGTCAGCGGGGCGTTGCCACCAAATCGAGTGTTAAAATCCTCCAGGTACTCTGTAGATACATGGATGTGGTGTCTACAGTTTTATTACATAATAGAGTCAAAATGTTTTCTATGAAATGTTATTCACTTGAGCTGGTAAATTTTCTAGACTGTCTGTAAGTGTGTGATTTTGTCTATCTGTCTGTGATCACGACAACTTAAGTGCGATTACAGCTAGGTTGACGAAATTTTGAATATAAGTATCCTATCAAAATTGTAGCTCTGTGTGAACTTTTCATCGATTTCCGGTAACCGGAAGTGAAATTTAATACAATTTCGGTTTTTTAAAACTCTATCACTTAAGTCTTTTTTTCAAACAAAAGCAAACACAAACAACAGACAAACATTAACGCAAACGAACACATAAACACACACATCAGACCAAACTATTTTTTTTTCTGTCTAAGGCAAAAAGGAATTGGTACAAAGGGACCTAATTTGTATACTTTTTCAAACATTATTGGAATTTTTGTGAAGGTAGTAAATTTGGTTTATTATTTTATTTTGTACGAGCCGACCCGCGGTGTATCATACGCCGCTATTTAGTTGTTGTTTTTTCTACTTTTCAATAATTCATAATTTGTGAATTCGACAGTACCAATGCTGCCACTGAAAACATTTGCTTTAAAACACTAACCCCCCCACCCCCTTCCCCTCCCCCCCCCCCCCCCCCCGTGAAAGCAGCCTCCTCTTAGTTACCTCCTCTAAGTCTAAAATCGTTTCAAACTAAATTATCTGCCCCTAGTAGCCGTCACCTAACCCGGCTCTACGATTGTAAAATGTAAACAACGTGAACCACAGCTCACCTGACCATGTGAGGGGGGTTGGGGTGGTAGCAATAGAGAGAAAGAGAGGGGACTGCAAGGCGCGCTTGCAGCTTGTTTTCTAACGTCTCCCAGAAGAGAATTATATATATAGATTTTAAGTCAACCAAAATAATAAAAATGAAAATTGAATTTTTTAAAATCACCCACTTAGACTTTAGTACAAAAAAAAACACTGTAATGATATTACGCTAGGGCGATCAAGTCGAGTTTTTTACTATGTGCATGCCCTTCACGCATCTATTTCTCTCTCTCTCTCTCTCTCTATATATATATATATATTATATATATATATATATAATTTTAAAAATATACACACATATATATACATATATTTCTATATATACACGTATAGAAAAAAAAATCACACATCGCAAAGACAAGACCCCTCCTGTGAAACCAAGGTTTACTTACCTAAAGCTCCACTATCATCCACTTCATCCATCTGAACGTCTTTCACACATGGGTTTGGGTTCGTTTTCATTTCATCAATTTTCATCTGAAAATCGTTTAACGTTTTCATTGATGATTCTTTTAACGATTCCATCAGTTGTTTGGAGTCGCTGTCGATGTTGGCGTTGCATTCTTCGATGTATTTTAGCAAGGTATCTAACTTAGAGTCGACCAATTGTTTGACATCGGCAATGGACTCTTCCAGTTTTTCCTGCGTCTGTTTTTCCTGTGTGAACAGCTGATTCCATGAGGAGTTGCCGTGCGAGGTCTTCATTAACAGCAACCCCAACCCCACGAACAGCCCGACCACTGTGATGAAGGCTATAGTCCTCCGTGGAGTACATGTCGGGCTCAAGTCACTGTTAGGTAAAGTTTAAGAAATAACATTATCAGAACTTTCTTAAATTCGTGTCATTTCACTGTTAATAAACCGGTAGTGATCTCCCCTAAACTTTCTCGAATATTCTTATATAAAACAACAGGGGATGGTAACTGGGGATATAGTTATGATTTTTAATCCATTGTAAATACTTAAACTTTAAAAAATAGAATAGAATCTCATAAAAAAAACATTGCGCACCAAGCAAACGCCGAATAAAAACGCGTATAATAGTGCGCAATATTATTAGTACTTTAAAAATTTACATTAGTTTTTTGAGAAATCGGAAGTAGCGTAAATTACTACTTCCAGTCAACGAAAATTACTCAAAATTTAACAGAAGGTAGAGAATTAGATCTTTTACTTACATGTGAAATTTCATTTATCTATCTGAAATAGTACTCAAGTTATAGGCTTTTGAAAAATTCAAAGTAGGAAAAGTACCACTTCCGGTTATCGGAAATCGCTCAAAAGTTGATACGGATCTACGATTTTGATAAAATACTTATATATGAAATTTCATCAACCTAGCTGTAACGGTACTCAAGTTATCGTGTTTACACACAGACACACACACGGACAGACACACACACACACAGACATACGGACAAGATTGCAAAATTATGTTTTTCCGTATCAGTGAGGTGTAAAACGTCGAGATTTGTAAAAATCTCGATTTTTTTTTTTTTGCACGATTACAATACTTTCTCTATACTACGTATATACGAGAAAGTAAAAAAAGGGTGCGTACTTCCATTCAACTCCAGACAACAGCAGACATGATGTTCTTGCCCCCCTCCATCCGTACCCCGTTAAAACATTCTACATTTATTTAAGTATATTTAAAGCTGCTCAAAACATACCTTTTCATGTTAGTGTTGACAGTTGATATGCTAAGTTCCACAATTAAAACGGGAGAAAGTTATCTGTTAGGAAACAAGAATCAATTAGTCAGTAGATGTAGAAGATGCTACGAGTTACTGTATAGAATATAGATTATTAACTAGCAACTACAGAAAGTAGTATTTTTAGTTGGATTGAATTATTTATACGTATCTACAAGGGTTGGCGTGGTCGAGTCGGTAAAACTCATGGTTGCTATACCGAAAAGTCTCGAGTTCGAACCATCGGGTAGATGAGGCTCGTTAGCTGGGGACAGCCACTCTTCTAGGATAGACAACTCCAAAATCAAACAGCTGCTGCCTTGTAGTTTGTTCTTGGTTGGACAAAGGCTATGGAAGCAAACACAAAAAGAAAAGCAGGCTGAAATCGGAGTCAATGGCCTCAATGGCGCATAACCAGTTGACACGTATCCTTAATTGTGATGGAGGCGTGGTCGAGTCGGCTAAAGCTAATGGTTGATAAATTCGAAAAGTCTCGAGTTTAAACCCTCTGGCAGATAAGGCTCGATTCCCTCCAACACTTAAAAATTAAGAACGAAGAAGAAGAATATCTACTATCTATCTATATATATATATATGCTTTTCTTCATGGAGACCATAGAAAACACCAAGCTGTAAGCGCGCCTAGCAACCCCCTCTCTTCCTCCCTAGGCTTCCTCTCTCAGCTAGAGCATTTATAATTATAATCTTAATGTTTTACGGTCACGTTCATTTGGAGTTTTATAGTCTGAAAGTGCTCTGCTTGAAAGTAAACCATAATCTACAAAGTTGATGCAAAACTGCACTAAAAACAGATCCTCTAGTTTCGAAAATCAAAATAGTGAAACGAAACAGTTACCAGTAACAGATCCACTTGTTTAAAGCCGCTGAATAAATCCTTAAGCTCCGCTAGCTGTATGCTGCACACGTTATGTTATGTCTACAGTTAAAACTCTGTGACTTCGAACCAACATGCTAAAAGAACCAGAGGTGATCCCACACTTTAAAAAGCTCCAATAACAAAATCAAGCAATACATGTTACGTGTAATTTGGCCGAAAGGGTAGTATGTTAGGCTGAATTAAAGGTGAACATTTCACAAAAAACACTAACACATGATACATTTTTAAGGCCCGTTCTAAAAGTGTGGAGATATTAAATATTCCATGGCTTACCAAGACCAAAATTAAAAAAAAAAATCATTTTGTGTACAGTGTCGTGATTTAGTGTCTTGATGTAGTGTGTCATCATGTAGTGTGTCGTGATATAGTGTGTCGTGATGTAGTGTGTCGTGATGTAGTGTGTCGTGATGTAGTGTGTCGTCATGTAGTGTGTCGTAATGTAGTGTGTCGTGATGTAGTGTGTCGTGATGTAGTGTGTCGTGATGTAGTGTGTCGTGATGTAGTGTGTCGTGATGGTGCGTGTCACCCACAAAGCCTTTACAGTGCACACGCCCATGTACTCAGGTAGACCATCGACTTTATCCCTACATAAATGTTGCTCACTCTACGATGATTGACAGGTGATCACCAGCTATCTAAGTGTAATACATCCGACAGCCATTAGTGTGATACATCCAATACTTTCTTCTAATCGGTGTCTTTACCATATGAACAAAACTGCTATTGTGGAAACTTAATCGTGTTTGTCTATTTCTTCGACTACCTACTTAGTACAGTCATGCCTCAGTTATTGTGGAACCAGAACCGTCCTCGATAAATGAAAAACTACTAAGTAGTGTTACTCTCTCGTTTTTAACATTCATACATTTTTTGTATGTGTATCGATAAGTGTATATGAAACCATATAATTGCACGTTGTCACTAGAACATTAGAGAGTCCAGCGATCGATTATGAAAACAAATGAGTGGTTTTTAGCGTTAAAAAACACAAAAAAGCAGCCAAAGTGTGATAAATGATTGACCAATCTTCTGAAAACACAAATTAAAAGTTATTTCGTCAGACCGAATCAGATCGCGTAACGCGGTGGTAACAAAAATATAAAATAATACTATATAAGGTTTACTCTGTGAATTACTTCTTGTCACACTAAATGTATACAAAGCTAAATGTTTACAAATCGTAGAGCCGTAGAGCCGGATTTCTATTAGGGGCAGATAATTTAGTTTGATTTTAAACTTACAGGAGGTAACTAAGAAATAACTAAGAGGGGGCTGCTTTCACGGGGGGGGGGTGTAGGGTCGGGGATAGGGGAAAGGGGGGGGGGTTAGTGTTTTAAAGCAAATATTTTCAGTGGCAGCATTGGTACTGTCGAATTCACAAATTATGAATTACTGAAAAGTAGAAAATAAAGCAACTAAATAGCGGCGTATGATACGCTGCGGGTCGGCTCGTTATATATAAAACATCAATACAAGGCCAATGGTCAATCGCAGAGAATCGATTATATTTCTTTGTTAAGATTCATACATACGCGTTTAGATATTGATAATAAATTGCGTTTTAGAGCAGTATACAATGCGAAGCTGAGACATAAAATTCTCGAACACCCCTCTAGCTCAAACAGCTTAGTGTTTTCACTTCATGTAGCCAGAGGGGGGGGGGCAGAGGGGGTGGGGGTTGACCGGACTCCAATTTACATAAATAATTTGGACGTGCTTCAATGCCCATTGTCATTTAAATACAACTTAAGGCAGGGTTAACATTCAAATCCTAAAAAAAAAAAAATATGCTTTGTAAACTCACATAATAGCAAATGTGACAATGGAATCCGCTTTTAAGTGCGTAAACTTAAAAATGGCAATGTGAAAACATTTTATTTCGCAGAAATCGAGCCGCGAGCCTGTCGCAGCCATTTTGTTTCGACATTCCATACTCTCCGTCCAATAAAATTAATCAAACGACACTGATCGGCCTCAAGTAGTGTGTATTAAAGCTATCTTTGGGTGTTCCTAATTCAGTAGCGAGATGCTAAGTTTCAACCAAACAGTGGTTGACTATTGTTCATACATGTGTTGAATGTAGAGTTGAACACCCATCTACGTGTAACATACACGTCACCAAATTGTAATCAGGTCACCAGCATGTAACATACACGTCACCAACGTGTAATAGCGTGCATGTTATAATAATGTCGCAGCTATTGTATAGCTGCTTCTCTTCGTGAATCTTTGAGACAAATTGTGTTGCTTTGTGTATGTGTGGGAAGGAGCGGGGTGTAAGAATGGAGAGGCGCAGTCCTGGTTATAAATATATTTAAGACGTATAAAAAATATTTCATTAATCTAATTTAGATAAATAGTTAGTGAACCAGGTTTTAACCCTAACCTCTTCCTCTCGAGATGTTTTTACCCGAAACCCTAGTCGTAAACACAGTATTCAACGTTTCGCCAGGATTCAAGTTCGTGGATATTAATCGTCAAAACACTAACTGACACTTTGTCATTGATTATGTTTTTCTGAAAAGTGACTTTGATCTTCACACAAATGACGGGGCTTCAAATTATAAAATATGATTGACACCGCTTAAGTTTTATTCAGTCGTCGATAAATATTTTATCGGTTTTATATTTTTGAAACATTTTTCAAGAATACAGTGGATATTAAATTTAAATTATTTTATCATGGCATATTAAAGAAATTACTTTACGTATCCCTGTGTTCATACTTCTAACACTATTCCAGTTCCCGGATATTACACTAAATGTCTGTTATCTCATCGATAAAACATGTAGTCTAGTATGTTGCAAACGCAGCTGTATTTAGAAGTTAGGAAATAGCCATTGGTCAAGCTGTTGAGAGTAGAACCAGGAAGTATGAACCAATCGATTAGCCGACCTATAGAAACGAGCCGATCGGTCACGTGTGACGATTAGTGACCAGTAAAACGTTAAATCAGTTGGGCATTCGACCGTGTAGTAAAAAATTATACAACTATTATAGTTGTTCAATACAATTTTAATGCCACGAAGTATTTATCCTGACTTCTCGTTGTAGGTTATTTCTTAATTTGAATTCCATTTTTTTTACTTTCTCGTATATACGTAGTATAGAGAAAGTCTTGTAATCGTGCAAAAAAAAAAATCGAGATTTTTACAAATCTCGACGTTTTACACCTCACTGATACGGAAAAACATAATTTTGCAATCTTGTCCGTATGTCTGTGTGTGTGTGTGTGTGTGTGTGTGTGTGTGTGTCTGTGTGTCTGTGTGTAAACACGATAACTTTAGTACCGTTACAGCTAGGTTGATGAAATTTCATATATAAGTATTATATCAAAATCGTAGATCCGTTTCAACTTTTGAGCGATTTCCGACAACCGGAAGTGGAACTTTTTCTACTTTGAATTTTTCAAAAGCCTATAACTTGAGTACTATTTCAGATAGATAAATGAAATTTCACATGTAAGTAAAAGATCTAAATCTCTACCTTCTGTTAAATTTTGAGTAATTTCCGTTGAACGGAAGTAGTAATTTACGCTACTTCCGATTTCTCAAAAAACTAATGTAAATTTTTAAAGTACTAATAATATTGCGCACTATTATGCACATTTTGTTTCGGCGTTTGTTTGGTGAGCAATGTTTTTTTCTATGATTCTATTCTATTTTTAAAAGTTTAAGTAATTAAAAATCATGTCTACATTCCAAGTTATATAAGAATATTCGAGAAAGTTTAGGGGAGATCACTCCCGGTTTATTTTTAAAGAAAACATAAATGACATCGTGTGGTCTGAGGTTATATTACTTACACACAATAAATTATATTTAAGAATCAAGAATTTTATGTGTTCACTTTTAATCTTAAAAATTTACTTACTATTTTAATTTAAAAAGTTTCAATTAATGTAATATATTGGTCTAACTTTGATAAAGTATAAAAACTGGTATAACAGCATGCTTTTAATTCTCTAAATCATTTTAGCTACCAATGTTTTTGTTTTAAAATGTGAGGTCGTTCATTTTTTTTAAAACGGTGTATGTCAAGGCTTTTTGTTATAAATATTTATACATCTAAATACATATAGAAATCTAGGCATACTATAAATTTCAGTAAGTATAAAATTAACAGGTGCAATTCACATAATCTTTTTTTTTATGTTCAAGATAGATAAATGGTGGCTTATTATATCGTGTAAAAACATGTATTACTTCCCCTTGAAATGCTATTTTGAAAGAAATGTTTACAAGGTTTGATTAAGTTAGATTAATTTTATTTTTTAACTCACATTTTTGCTTAATTGATTGATTGTTGTTACATTTTACAATAATGGGATTACTTTTGTTGGACTTTTTGTTACTTGATTTAATTTAGTAGCTTCACTGAAAACAATGGTGTTTTATAGCTTGTATAAAATAAACAGAAATGTTTTC